GTGTTCAGCTCCATAAGGCAGAGCAATACACTTTTAATATATTGGCTGTGGGTTCAAATCTCATTCATGTCGTTGCGGATGCTATAGCCGCCTGCACCTCGTGTAACTCTTATACACCCCTCAAGCCTCTATTCGGACGATGGAAAAACAAAATGAAAATAGTTGAAACCGGCATGAAGACGAGTACTGCTGCCGTGAGCAAACCGCCTGCTTCACCACATGTTTCAAAATCGCTACCAGCCGAGGCACCTTCGTGTCAGACATGAATTTTAATATTTGTAAATTTGTGAAATCATACAAATTTAACTTAGCTAGACCTTCATGTCAGACATGAATTTTAATATTTGTAAATTTGTAAAATCATACAAATTTAACTTAGCTACTTTCTTCTAAAACAATCGATTGTCTAGTCTCAGATATTGAACAGTCTAGCGGAGTACGGACCTCTGCTTTGGTTCCTAATTTCATCGGTAAACAATGGCGTTTGCCAATGAATTCCAAGCAGTCGTTCCAACAATCGAACACAAGCTTTCTTGCCCACGTAGTTTATTAATCCATCGTGGTAACAAAAAACATAATCAATTAAACTTTAGTTAGCTCAGCCTGTGAAGAGCGAAATGTAATAAATACAGTAGTTCGGTCACTTAAAAGTGAGTATTAAGTCTGAAATGAGCGAACTCAGTCAGAAGTGCCATTGGGAATGGCGCGTCTGCTATATATATTAATCACGATCCTATGTGGGACGAGACTTTCTCTACAATCAGGTAATGTGAAAATACCCGTCTTTAGGGTTTTGGATGGGTCATCACTCTATCGTATTAACTTCTCCATTCCACTAACTGGTCCGGTGTTCTGGTTTTGCCCTAAATATCCGCCTAGGGTACTTTGTCCACAACTTGACATGACAGCGATTAGAAACTAAGACGAGGGGCTTAAATTTGTAGAGTATAATGTAAAGGGAGATGCACAGTTGTGCTTCGTTTACTTAAAATTTTGCATGGTTCACATAGTCACAAAGAAGATAAGAAGATTGGGGTCATCATCTGGAATACCTAACATTGCAAGGTATTATTGAATTGTATAATATACAACATCAATACCTTTTGTCGATATTTCTCCCTTATTACCGTACAATAGCCTCTCGCACTGCAAAGTGACATTTTTTTTATATTCGATTTGAGCTATTTCTGTGAGTTATTGACGTAAGTACAGTTGAACAAGTGTCGTTAACAAGTCAACCGGCACAGAATTGTCCAATAAAATACATTACATGACAAAATAATTACGAGAAAAGGCCTTCTACGCGCACGTACACGTGTGTGTAAACTGTTCAGCAAGTTTTTTAAAAGCCTGTTTTCGATATTTTAAGACCATGCAAGTAAATTGCTACTTTGCCGAACTGGTTGAGCCGACATACCTAGACGTGGGGACTGGAGGATCAACATTCATGCCGGTGCTGTATCCAACAATCAACAACTGTTTTAAGTAAGTTCACAGTGTAGGTGAATACTACACGAAAGGTGAACAGAGGCCGGATTTCTACAAAAGACATTCTACGCGCATCTAAGCGCATCTACAGCAGATGTGGCCGAAAGAGTATTGTCCCTGGTTGCTTCTAAAACTAATTCTGGGGCTCTAAATGCACCTTTGGCGCTGCAGTCGGCATCATACCTTGTGGAAACAACCGCCAATCCACCACTCACTATACGTAGGAGTAGTTCGATGCGTGCTCTTAACGGCGAAATATTGCATATGTGCCGAGGAGGTACAAAGGTAAAACGACGTATTACTGGTAGGACCAGTGTAGACCCCACAGCATCTGAGTTGGATGATTTCGATGCGGAAGCAGACAAAGGCATTCTTTGTAGACAATGTTTGCCACTCATTCTATCAAGGATATTTCTGATCTGACAGGTGCATAGCTCTTAAAATGAGATTCTATTTGACAGCTATGCACGCAAGACTGCTAAAAAGGATAAGCCGAATCAACTAGACACGATGCGTCGCATGAGTGGCAAGCCAGCTTTCTTTTAATTTTTCGCAGAAATCATGCCAACTAAGTGGATACTCAATGATCATTTGCTCCCTGCTACTAAATGTGGGCCTATCGTCAATGAAACAGGTTGATCTGACTGTGAATGAATAGCGGGTCTGCCGAAATATACGAATATGACATGCAAGTATGAGGGCGTATCCGTATCTTCTTTCGTCCCAATTTTAGCTATATGGTGATGCAGAGTATGTTCACGGCAATAGTATGATGGCTGATTGCTGGCTCAGCGCTTTGGGCCCGTATCAATGAGTGTTCGCATGGGTTCTTCATTTCCTGTAGATTAACATGAGTGTTGACGAGTATGGCCAGATGTTGCTTGTTTTGGTGCTGCCGATCTGTTGCTTGCAACTGGTTTGCGATATTCGGGCAACGAATTTTATGTTCCAGTTCTGGCGGTAGTTGCTTCTCGTCACACGACCGACAGCTGAATGAACTCAATACCGGCGCGGCGTGTGGGTATGCTCGTTGGTCTACCTCCGC